GTCACCAAGGTGGTTGGTAGCCTCCATGGTGGCAAGGCTCCGGGTGTGGATGAGATCCGCCCTGATTATCTAAAGTCTCTGGATGTTGTAGGACTGTCTTGGCTGACACGTCTCTGCAACATCGCGTGGCGATCGGGGGCAGTGCCAATGGAGTGGCAGACCGGGGTGGTGGTCCCTCTCTACAAGAAGGGGGACCGGAGGGTGTGTTCCAATTATCGTGGGATCACACTCCTCAGCCTCCCCGGTAAGGTCTACTCCAAGGTACTGGAGAGGAAGCTACGGCCGATGGTCGAATCTCGGATCCAGGAGGGGCAGTGTGGTTTTCGTCCCGGTCGTGGAACACTGGACCAGCTCTATACTCTCCATCGGATACTCGAGGGTTCATGGGAGTTCACCCAACCTGTCCACATGTGCTTTGTGGATTTGGAGAAGGCGTTCGACTGTGTTCCCCGGGGTGTCCTTTGGGGGGTTCTCCGGGAGTACGGGGTCGGGGGTCCTCTGCTGAGGGCCATCCGATCCCTCTATGACCGGAGCCAGAGCTGTGTTCGCATTGCCGGCAGTAAGTCAGACCTGTTCCCGGTGAATGTTGGCCTCCGACAGGGCTGCCCTTTGTCACCGGTTCTGTTCACTGTATTTATGGACAGAATATCTAGGCGCAGCCAGGGGTCGGAGGGGGTCCGGTTCGGAGACCACAGGATTTCATCTCTGCTGTTTGCGGACGATGTTGTCCTGTTGGCTCCAACGAACCAGGACCTGCAGCATGCACTGGGACGGTTTGCAGCCGAGTGTGAAGCGGCTGGGATGAGAATCAGCACCTCCAAATCCGAGGCCATGGTGCTCGACCGGAAAAAGGTGCCTTGGTGGAGAGGTCCTTCCTCAAGTGGAGGAGTTCAAGTATCTCGGGGTCTTGTTCACGAGTGAGGGAAGGATGGAGCGTGAGATTGACAGGCGGATCGGTGCAGCGTGCGCAGTGATGCGGTCGCTGTATCGGACCGTTGTGGTAAAGGAGCTGAGCCGAAAGGCAAAGCTCTCGATTTACCGGTCAATCTTCGTTCCCTCCCTCACCTATGGTCATGAGCTTTGGGTAATGACCGAAAGAACGAGATCGCGGATACAAGCGGTCGAAATAAGCTTCCTCCGTAGAGTGGCTGGGCGCTCCCTTAGAGATAGGGTGAGGAGCTCAGTCACACGGGAAGAGCTCGGAGTAGAGCCGCTGCTTCTCCACGTCGAGAGGAACCAGTTGAGGTGGCTCGGGCATCTGTTCCGGATGCCTCCTGGACGCCTCCCTGGTGAGGTGTTCCGGGCACGTCCCACCGGGAGGAGGCCCCGCGGAAGACCTAGGACACGCTGGAGGGACTATGTCTCTCAGCTGGCCTGGGAACGCCTTGGGGTCCCCCCGGACGAGCTGGAGGAAGTGTGTGTGGATAGGGAAGTCTGGGCGTCTCTGCTTAGACTGCTGCCCCCGCGACCCGGCAACAGATAAAGCGGAAGAAAATGGATGGATGGATGGATGATTTATTTGTTACAGGTGAGCTGGTTGTGATATAAACTCAAAGGAAAGTTACATGAGTGGTGCAGAAGGGCTCATTCTTTCCCTGAGATGTTACCGTTTGTGGTAATGTAGATACCAATTGTTTTGATTGAGATGCGATATTCTATTTTAATCTTTTTTAAAGGGACCATGCACACAACCATTAAGCTGGCACAGATATGTTCTGCACCAGATTATAGTGAGATGGCTAGTTTCCTTGTATAAATTACTATGGCGAATAGTGATCCAATGACTCTGAAAGTTCCCATTTTGTGTATATTTTGAAAATTAAGAGTGAATATTAACAGGCAAAAACTATAACCGCTAATTAATAAATCCCTTTATAAAACTTCCCCCTCAAAGTTATTGTATCACAAACAGTGGGGAGGGGTCCTGGCCCATGAAGGTCCAGGAATGCTTGCAATCTCACTTCTAGCCGGTGGGGGTGTACCCGGAAAGAGAATTACCCAATGCTTTTGTATGCCGCCAGAAGCGTGTAGATGCTGAGGGGCGTATATTTTTTTGGACCAGCCTAGTTTGGCCGCTGTGGACTTTTGAACGCACTTTAATGAACGGGGCTCATGCACAAATGTGTTTTTTCACATTTTGCTGCCCCGCGGCCATTTTGAAAAAGCCCACAGAAGGCAAAAGTGGCGGCACATATGTTTCAACGGCGGAGATAGGTGTGACTACGTCCGTTAATATTTGCAGTCTATATACAGGAGACACGGAGGAAAAATAGCTGCTTGGCTAATTCTGGCATATTTACAGAGATGTTCATTAATATGCACTGTCCCTGTAATAAATAAATAAAATAAATAAATGATCACAATGTCAGCTCAAGCAAAGCATCCATGTGCATGTGTCTAAATTTAACTATTCATCTCTTTTCCATAAAAAATGATTCATTAAAACGGTTAATTGCATTTAACATTACTTTTAGATGAATGTGGACCCCTTTGACCAGAGAAGGCCTTTCTGAGTGGAGTTTACATGTTCTCCCTGTGTCAACTTAAAGGTTTTCTTTCCCCTAACACTAATAATGACTGAGTTTGTGTGTGTGGCTGGGACAACTGACAGAAATGATCCCATGGCCTCCTGCTGTTCATGAATGTCTATTGTCTCATTTGAATTACACTATTATATTTACCTTGCACACATTTTTAAGAAATGATAATGATTCAAGGTTGCATGTTAAAAACACAAAGTTTATATAAAATTGCAGTCCATGACATGTTAATCCATTGCAGTCTTCAGATAAAAAAAACCAAAGGTGAATTTGCTTGAACGGAAGAATGCACTTGTTGAATAACACAGTCAGTTTGCGTCCAAACAGTCTATACACATTGTTTACATTGTAATAACATACAGTGTGTTCAGATGAAGATAATCACATTGGGTTAAGAAGTAATTCAGGAGTAATGATGAGACAGCACGTTTTTGACTGTATCACAAAAGTTACAAAAGATTCAGTACTGTGAACATTCCTGAGGCTGATACTGTTCAAACCCAAAATACCTGAATAAAGTCACTTGTAAAGTAAAAAAGTATAGATTTGTTGTGTTGTTTTCCCAACTGTAAGGATAAATTAGTGGTGTAAAAGTGGGTTGCACACATTAAAAAGGCACAAGAATAGAAGCCAGGGGAAATGTACAAAATAGTTTTTAATGTAAATTACGTTAAATGACTTGTACTTGCATTGTCCAGATATCTCAAATGTATAAGGGTTTTGTTATTAAGCAATGTCTTTTGCATTTTATCTTAATTTACTGTTGTTTTATAATATTTTGCCTTCAATATTTTGTTGAACTGAAATAGTTTATAGTCTCTTTGAATAAGCTAAAAGTGCACATGACAGGGGACTTGCAGTTTTAACTTGATTCGACGTGGAATATGTCTAAAAAAAAAAAGTGCATCAGGCAACCGGCAGTTTGTGACAAAAATGTGTTGTCCATATTTGCACTCATTTAATTCATACTGTAGTAATTAGAGGAGCTTAGTCCTTAGTTTAATACTCACCTCATAACTACTCTTCTCAGAAACATCGTTTTCTGAACTAATTTATTAGTTTAGCTCCGAGGAACTTTCTGCACACACTCCCCTTCCCCTCACAGAACCCTGTGTTGAATCTGATCGGTGATCTTCAACGTTCTCTCCTGAATGTTTAGCCCATTAATTTGCATCAGTTTTCTGACACACAGACAACATTTCAAGTTGTCTGTGTGTCAGACAACTATTATTTCTTCTCTTAATTGTTTTAAATGAATGTGAGTTAAAGTATATTTCATGTCTGAAGAAAGCCTCATTGTGATCACTTGGCCATTATTCACTCGTCACAAAAGGCTTAACACCAGGGGTGGGAAATTATTTTCTCAGGGAGGCCATGTTTGGATAATGTAGTTTATTTTCAATTTTACTAAATTGTTATGTTATTATTACTGTTTTTTTTTTTTTTACTAGATAATATCACACGTCTTTCATAGTTTGGCTATGAAAGGCAATGATATTTTTTTACCCCAACTTTTAGTTTAACAGCAATTTAAAGTGTTATTCCACTTGCAGCCGCTGGGGGGCAGTGTAGGCCCGTTTACCAGTAGCTGCTTCACCTGTATCGGTGAACATGCTATGTGAAAAATACATAGTTATAGATCCATGGAAAAATACTAGAAAAAAATACTAAAAACACACACAAATGCTCCCATAAATAAATTGATATTTAGAATTTATGGATATTCACTATGCATTTGTTGGCTGGTGCAACTTATACTCCAGAGCCTTTTAGTGCAGAAAACACAATCAATGGTTTTGGTTTCATTGTTTAGAGAAAAAAAAAAGATTGTTGGCTGTTTTCATTAGATAAAACATTTTAAAAAGTAAAAAATGAGGTATACCATGCACATATTGAGTTGCAAAACTTCATTGGGTATTGCCTCCCATTCATTTAAGCGCTCAGATGGAAGACTCAGATGGGAGGGGAGAGAGCTTGGAAACTAATGCTCCCTCTTCCCACTTTTTTCAAGCTTGAAAATGCTCACTTTGAGGACCAAAACAAAGGTCCTCAATGCAAAGAATGAATTGTTTGCTTTTTCGAGATATTGATCTAACCTGTCACATGCACTTCAACCATATATGTCCCTTTAGGACTTCACTTCAGCATCAAGAGTTGTGCCTTCAGGTTGGGAATCAATCGTTTTCAAGTGAAATTTGACTGGATCATTTTCTACACCATCTTTCAATCACATTCTGTACAAAAGAGTCACACACTTGTCTCTTCCGCGATAGACTGTTGTGTTGTCACGCCTACACATCGAGCCATCATGGTCCTTGCGAATGTAAAACGTCCAACAACTGTCTCTGCGACAAACGGAAACGAACGTAATTTCAAGTACAATCGCTGGGGCCTGTGAGAGTGTTGCGCGTTTTGAAGGCACTCCTGAAATCTGAGTTATAGTGGTATAAGTTGAAGTGTTCAGAGGGTCACGCGGGCACAATGGTGTTTAAGTTTACAAGGCAGCACCCCACGGTTGAGCTGGTAGAACTCCACCAGCTGAATCAGGTCGGAGAATTTGGTATGTGCGTCATCCAGGCTGTAAAAGAGGTCGCCTTCTTCGTCGACCTAAAGAGATGATAAAAGAATTAGAAATGTTCTGGGTGGGAGGGTTGGTTAGCCGTGGAGGAAGAAAAATATGTTGTTTGCTCAGTAGTTTGTTTAAAAGTTTGAAACATTTATACAAAATTAAGTAATCATTATTATCATTATTATTACAGATGAGGGCCACACAAAACACCTTACCACCTTGGGATAAAGTTACTTACATTATGTTACTTACATTATCCCATGAAAATGATGGGATCTTCTACAGTAAAAGAAACACGGCTTGATTTGTCCATCCCCCCACAATAATATGAGGTACAAACCCACCATGTGCTCCTTTCTAAAACTCTGTACCTTATGACTGTGGTATTTTGGGGATTTCTTCAGTCAGATGGCATAGATGGAGAAAATAAACTACTCACTTCATTGTCCAGAGAAATAATGAGTAGTGTGCTTATAGTCAGGGGTGCACATAACTTTTTCAGTGAGGTGAGTACCAGGAGATGGTGTTTGGTACTGACTTCATTTGTCGCGTTGTTCTTAAATCGAGATTTTATACATGTTTTTTTTTATGCTAAAGTTTAGATCAGCTCAGTTGATCCACTCAATCCAAGTCAAATAATTACTCATAGGGCTCTTTCTTAAAAACGCAAAAAAAATCTAAACAATGTTCTGTTTGATTTGTTCACAACATTTTACTGGAAACGGCACTCGGCAGAACAAGTAAAAATAGTACCATACTCCTATCACTTTTTGTAGTTGGCTCATCCCAAATTAACAGATGTTTAAATATTTTAATCAAGCGCTGAACTTTGAATGCGATAATTCCCCAATGAAGAAATAATAATGACGTATACTAACAGGGAGGATCTGGAAGTGTTTGATTTTCAACTGGTAGCACAGCGACAGGACGAAGGTCTTGGGGTTGCTGAGGCTGTCTCGTAGGAGAAACACACTGAAAAACAAAAGTAATTTTGTTTTAAGACGACAAAATACACTTTTAATAAACAGTCATGTTTTGTGTATTCATGCATAGTAAGTAGTAAGTAAGTAAGTAATGTTTATTTATATACCGCCTTTCACCGACCAGAGTCACAAAGCATACTTTAGTAATTGCATACAGTATTTTCTCCTGCCACTGACATTAATACACAGACATTACATTTTATTGAGACATCTCTCATCAGAACTACTGGTACAAACTCGGAGCTAAACAAGCTGTAAATGGTTATTTTTTCAAAGTCAATTGTCGGAAAAATAAATGACCAAACCATTTGTAATTACTTGTTAAATACCTTTGGTTCTCTTCACAATACTGAAGCTTCATAAATAGTTTAGGTTTAAGCAATAGGCACAGGCTAAAGCAGACCCAGTGAATACCTTTCCTTGAATTTTGCACCAACCAATCCCAGGCTGTGAAATAATAAGTAACCCATAGCAACAGGGTCAGCCCCTCATCCTTCTGCAGTGAGGCTTTGTTACTTTAAGCAAACAGTTCTTTCAAATACTATCCACAAAACAAGAAGTGCAAGAAGTCATTTTAACTGAAAACTACAACTATTTTGCTATTATAAAAACATACTCATAATGTCCAGTGCAGGTTTACCTACAATTCCAAAGTTTCAAAGTTTGACATAAGCTTGACATATTTCTGAAAAACCGGTCTTGTCAAATATGACCTAGAATTTCAATAACAATAATACAATATATTTACTTGCATTTATACAAATAAAGCAATGTACTTAATTAGGTATGTGTATGGTGTGCGTGTGGGTTTGGTTTCTATAAATCAAACTAAAATTAAATATTTTAGTTGTTGCATTGCATTTCTCTACTGTAATTACTTAAGAGAAAAAACTATGTCAAATTGGTTGAAAAAGTTGTTGAATTTAAGAAAAATATAAAATACAGTGGATATAGAGTGACAAGATAAGAATGGTACAAGTTCAGGGCCGACGTCCTCTCACACATGGAGCGAAAATCATTCTCTCCGTATAAAGGCTGCATTCACTCCATATAAAATATCAAAGTGATACAGTGATTTGTTGGACAGATGGGGATTGATTCTAGACTCAGAATGCAGACCTGAAGTTGAGAACCGGTCTTCTTGTTTTCGGTCTGAGTCTTACCCGTCGATAAGTCCCTGTTGTGTGATGAGCCTCTGAGCTTCTTCTCTGGACAGTTTACTGTGGAACCAGGGCTGAGCCATGTGCAGAGCTGGAGGAGAAAGATATCACACATTATTCACTCACAGTTACTGAGAAAGAGATGTGAGACAAACCTAAGCTGCAAACGGAGGAGGAGGGACTGCCATGCCCACTGAGACGGTGACAGCTTTTCTTCTGGACAAATAAATGGCCATATTTAACATGTTGAATGAGTAGAAACAATTTATTATTTTATTATTTGGATTATTATTACATCTCCAGGACGTAATAACATGCAACAATAAGTATTAAAAGGTGAATGTAATAGACCCACCCTCCAGGACAGACCCTCCTCCACAGCCACAGACAGCGCCTCAGACGGGTTCTCAATCACGCGGCTCTTCTGTCCAGAGAAGTCCATGGCCACTAGCGAGTTCTCCGATATGCTCCTCTGAAACACAACAAAGGACATCAGTGAGAGAGCACTGCCCCCTAGTGTAGGAGTGAGGTGTGTAAGACTGCCTGTCCCTACTAGTGTACTAGGTGTGGTCTTATTTTTTTTATCTCTACCAAATGTTAATGTGTTCATCAGGGTTTGAGTTTCTTAGTTTGCATAACTCAATTTAGAAGGTGATCCAGATTACGGCCTGGATCCAGAAATCAAACTGTGCCTCTTGAAAGGCTACAAGGGCGTAAAATCAAGGGGAGAAAAGATATTCCGTATATTGTGTGTAGTTTATAATACATTTCCATTATTCAAGTTTTATTCAACTCAATTGTGTTACCTTACCTAAGGTAACACATGTGTACACATACCTTGTGTAAAAATTAGTAGGATTGTGTACACAAGGTAACACAAAGTTCTTCACAGTTTGATTTAAACATAATGAATTATTAATATAAGAGGAATTTGAAGCTGATCTAAAATGTAAATTAAGTAAAACTCAATTCAAATGACTTTAATAACAAAGGATGGATAAACAGTGTAGGCCTTATAAAATGTTAGCAACACAATCTGATAGTGTTATATTTCTGTTTGTGCCAGAGGTCTCATGTGACTGGACTATCAAAAGAAGACAGTTTATTAGCATGTCTGAGTAAAACAGTAATATACATATCAACATAACTACTGTGAACAGCACACAGTCTATTCTGGGTCACAGTCCTCTTCACATGATACGACCTCTGGACACTTCCAGAGCTCCGATGAATCAGCTCCAAAGGATCTCTGTTAATTATAATCATGCACTGCGACCGCCAGGTGTAAAGTAACTACAGAAGATATCAGGGCTGTGATTTAAAAATTAGTAGGATTGTGTATTGCTACTATGATTTCTGTTAAACCAATATCTTTATGGTGACTTCCAAATCATAAAAGCAGACCCTTCAAGAGCTTCTGCAGATCCTCCTGTTTAGCTTTGAAAGTTAATTTCACATGTCATTCATGGAAATACTATCTATTGTGTTTATTTATAAGATTACGTTGATTCATAAAATGTTTTATCCCTTATTTATCATGTGACTACTTGTGCCCCAGACAGACACTTGAGATCCTGACTCCAGACGGGACTTTTCCACTGCTCTGAGGATGGAAATGTGTCATCATCATCAATCATGATGAGAATCAGAGAATCATGATGAGAATCAGAGAATCTCATGATGTTGAACTAAAGTCGAACAGAAAAGTACTCTTCAATTTGTCTTCGTCCCATCATTGTAATGGAAAGAGATAGAATGTCACATTATGACTATATCCTATTATGTGTCTCATATGTCCTTTTGAGAAATATGATTTATGGAAAATGACAATTGAAGTGTGAAATCAACACTTCAATTGATGTTTAAAAAATAAAGCATTTTTGAACAATTTGTTTAAATTGCACTTGTCACTTTTCCATGAATCCAGTCCTCCCATAAATGCCCAGTCGGTAGTAGTTTGTCAAACTGTACCATGGGAGAAGCTTTTTGCTTCTGGTGTGGCTGAAGAAAGTTCTGATAGAGTTGCATCCCATACTGAAAGAAAATTAGAGAAAACAAGGTATATTATCAGTTAAGTGCATTTTAAATTATGGTAGCTACTGCACTGTTCAAGCCCATATTGTTGTTTTGCAATGACATCATGGTTTAATTGATTATGCAAAATAATTGTAGATTATATCATATTATAGACAATAAATATAAGCACTTAACACTTAAAAATGGTATTTAATAATTGTAATGCATTAAAGCATTTGAACTCACATTGTATCTGTGACCCCAGACACAAGGTGATTATGTACAAATCATTTTTGGCCTTTTATGAACCAAAGGTTAACGCTTCTTTGTAAAGGTCATTGATGTTATGCATTGAAATGGCTGCTTGAATAAAGAAGGGGCGTCAAACTCATTTTGTCAGGGGCAGAATGGTTTTTTACTCGTTTCCGAACGGAAAGTTTGTTTCGAGCTCTTAAAGTCTGTACTATTTTGTTACTAAAGGATCACTATTGCATAACATTTGATTAATTGGTTAATTTGTTCAAAATAGTAAAATAATTTACATGTTTCATGTATGCATATGTTCTTCAGGAGTGAAAAGAGAATGAGCAAGGTTTGTATCATTTAGATCATCAATATTTCAATTACATGAAAATATAAGATAATATATTATTTACTGGTAGATAACCCTGAACAAAATGAGTTATGCTTGGAATGAACCCAAACTGGACCAGTGAAGTGTACTTTTTCAAAAAAAATTAAACAACCTGTCATTGTTCATGTAACTCAAATCTACTGGTGAAGTCACTTTTAAATTGCTTTGTCTATATAAACTATGACAAATGAAGGCTCAAGGGAACGCTAATCAAGGCTGCCTCTGAAACCCACAGCCCTGAGTCCTCAGCGCACATGTTAGCGATGCGAACGAGATCAGACCTTCAGGAGCCTCATGGCAGTGATCCAGCATGTCCGCGTGGACTCGTCATCTGCGCACAGAAGACGGAGCTCTCTCACACAGCTGGCCTTCGAAGACTGAGGATCACAACAGAGGCAATACAACATGCACAATTAATGAGAATTTACACTTTTTTCAATATTTTAGGTTTGAATGCTCTGAAAATCCATGTTTTCAACAATATACTACACTTCAATTATTTGAAAAATACTCACAGTAAACTGTGTGGTATAGTCTGTAAGTGTGTACATTTCTCCTGTGTGAGATCAATAAAGTCTACCTTAGTCTTATCTTAGTCACGTTTCAAAAATAAAAATATGATATAAGTGAATTGTTGATTTAAAGCTCATTTTTGTCATTCTGAATAGGGAATAGTATTAGTAAGCATAGTTATAGATATTTTTTGTGGTTTACAATGAACAAAATAAATCAAGTTAGATATATTTTTTTTTGTTCGATACTTCACATCATCCTCTTCACAGACTAGTGAGATAAACCCAAGGCTTATTATACTATTAGTTATAAGGTTATTAGGTTCAAAACTGTAGAAAGACTCGCCTTGACACAGAATGCGTAGTCTGTGGGCGCTCCGTGCACCTTCCTGGCGGACAACACAGAGTACACATCACTGTCTTTAAAGTCTGCAATGAACTGGAGATGCCGTGGCTCCTGGAAAAATACAAATAAATAGGATTATCATCTGTTGGTTCAACACATATTAACTTTGGTCCATGAATACCATCCAACAGGTTGTCTGATATTATGAGCCAAAGAGACAGCAGAATTGAAAGGTTCAGTCAAGCTTTTACACTCAATGTTTTTGATTTGTTTTTTCACAAACAAAAAGATAAGTATTTTGCTTTAATGAGATTTTTCCATTCAGATAGCTTATCCAAAGCACAAACTGAACAAGGCCCATGTAGCTTACAAATGTATCCAAAAGGTCCACAACAATTTGGATTCATAACAATCTGTGGCTGCAAGTCAAAACTTACTGTCATACATCTCATATACGCCAAAACTAATGCACTATCTCTGTAATTCCACGGTCAAACGCATCTCGGATAGATTGTTGCTACTCCTCAAAGAACGATAACTTGTTCTATATTTAACCGTGTTGATAAGAGGCTGTATCATCGCAGACACTAAAAATACACTTGGCCAAAAAAAGTAGCACAAAGGCGGCTATTATTTGGCCTTCATGTGACACCAGCAGACTCGTCCTTGTCTGCTCTAAACTCTGTAAACCCTTCTTGTTGATGACTGACTGCTGATGTGTCTAGCCGGGCCGCAGCTGAACAACCTGAGCAGAAAAAAGGCTCAAATTTAAAAGTAATGGTTTGACAAAAGCTTTAGTGTGTCTGTAGGAAATGAAAGCAGCTGGAGGAGGTGATCTTGGCTCGTGCCGTATGGAGAATAAGCCCCACTTGTCAGCAGCATGAGTGGAGAGAGTGGGGAGTGGGCCAGCTGACCTAAGGAAAATCTACCTCAACCTGCCGCTCTGGCCCCTGACAGAGCATTAGCCCTGTGACCTCAGAGCGCCCGCCGTGTGCAAATGTAGCTGTGGCCAAGCATGCAGGGAATTATTTTTATTTTTATTCGTACGATTTAATAGGGCGACAGTAGCTCAGTTGGTAGAGCATTGGCCTTAAGCCCAGAAGGTTGTGGGTACAATTCCCACCTCTGCACCTTCTCCACCGACTCCCACTGATGACTGCTGTCGTTGTGTCCTTGGGCAAGACACTTAACCCCACTTTGCCCAAAGCCCCCGCTGAAAGATCAAGGCTATGCTCACACTCAGAGAGCAGCCGTCCTCCTGTGGACTCACCACCTGCAGAGGATCAGTGAGGGGCTGGTGCTATGAGACTTGGGTGGCATCTCTGATTGCCACCCCCCTGACCCAGAAATGGATTAAAGGGTAGAAAATGGATGGATGGATGGATTTAATAACAGTTTGTCAAAATTAGAAATGTATTACAATCTTGTGTGATACAAATAATGTCTAAAAATGTGTTCACTAAAACAGAGAAAAGCACAGAACTCAAGATGACTTAAGGATATACCTAAACATGGGGGAGTCACTTTTTCAGATTCATGCAGCTAATATCTGGAATAGTCTACAAGAAAATATGAGATAAGCTTCTACTCTCACAATGTTCAATTTATTGACGATATTCGACTTTTATAATGCTTTCTGTTGCGATAGACACAATGTTTTATTTATGAAACAAAAAAGTTAGGTAGTCTAACTTTAATTTGGTTGCTGACCGGGCCGGTGAGAACCGCATTAGGGAAATCAATATACAAAAGGAGCAAAAGCATGGAGGTTCAGTTGTCTTTTGTGAGTTGGAATCGGGCCACTCTGTAAATGGCAACATTCATTTTATTTGTTGAAAAAGCAGTTTGTTTTTGTCCATGTTTAAGTTTTTGTCTTGTCTTTGTCCCAGGGCTTGTCGGTATCATTTTTAAGCCTGGTGATGTTTACCTGTGGTCTAAGCGTGTGGTGAAACAGCAGCTGTGATCACAGCTGTGGCCGAGGAACTCAGCAACAAGCTTTCGGATCGTTAGGAGGGATTTGACTGAACCTCTTCACCTTGTGTTGATCGTAACGTCTTAAATTCAAAAAGCCTGTGTTTTTCCAATGGGCCTTTCAGCCTTGCTTTCCTCAGCCTGCCTCAGAAAAAATTCTAGAGGCATTAAAGACTGTAAAACCCCTCGCCACAATTATCACACCGAGACGCAAATCACCGGATTGGTGCGAGTGAGCTCCCTGTGGTTCGGTGAGTGAGCCCTCTCTGTGCATGAATGAAGTCCACGGACTGGCTTCGCTCAGGTTAATGATGACAGCTGGGAACCAACTTTTTTATGGGTTTCATAAATACATTTTGAATGCCCCAATGGAAAAATATGTTTATATTTTTTAATAAAGTTAGCTATTGTATTACATTGTGAATTATAACGTCGATCATGATATTTCCTTCCTCATAGCATGATATAATTGGCCACCTCGCCCAGACCACTTCGAACATTTAGCCTAACTAATACAGACCTTTGATGTGCCTTTATTAGAGACATACAGGCCCGACCTCCTGAGCACAAAATATAACTTCTTCCACGACTTGCGGCTGTGCTCTTTTGCGTGGAGGTGTCCGTGGATCTCTGGACATGTGCTGGAGTTTAGAAAAGTCTAAGAGGAGAAAACAATACACAAGAAATTCACACATACTTCAATCAACATTCTATTTCTTATGTAATTGTACCTCTATGAGCTGCGAGTGATCCACCAGGCCATTGGTTTCGCTGGATAAAGAGACCATGTGATTGGGGAAAAAATCCTGACAATATTCAAACTCCATCAGTCAATAATACGTAGCGTCAGGTGTTGAAATTGAGTCAGTAACTAACCAGCGGATTCCTGAAGAATTCATATTTTGCGTAATTCTTCCTGAAGTAAAGGCGACTATCCGACTCCATTCCCCAACCTGACAGCACAATCATCACCAACTCGTGGTCCTCTATCGTCCGCTCTAGCAAACCAGAGAATACACTATTCAAGAGTCAATACCAAATCAAAAGACAAATCCAGAGACAAAGCCATTATTACATTTCACAACAGATGCCAGTTCAGAGGGATTCCCATTGGATCGCTTGACTTAGAAGAAAGAAGATGATGATTTATGTAATTAAAACATAAAGGAATAAGTTGAGCATCACTACATTTGTTATTATTCTCTTTTTGTATGGAATCTTAGTCAATATTCTTGCAGTCATTATTGAAAAATGTCTTTTTCAATAACATGTCACACTATTAACCAGACATGGCTCAGTCTGGATTCTTCAGCACATGGGTCGGGATAGTGGGCAGGTGAACCCCAAGGCTTGATAGCTTGCATGTTACTGGATTACATGCATCAACTAAAATACAATTTAGTATTATAATAATATTAACTTTTCTCAAAGTTACTTTCGGGTAAGGCGCAGAGCACATACCTCAGCAAAAGCCAGTTAATGCCAACACTTGGATACAGATTATGCTTGGTCATAATCCTATTTATAATCCAAAACAACACACACCTAGGGCTACGATGGCAAAATTCATAATTATGTTTTCCAAGAGCAATTTTTCCCGAACATTGGAAACATTAGCTTCTAAACTGTCAAATGAACTGTTTAAGAAAATATAGACATTTCATGATTTGATATTTGATAACTTTTTTCTAAAGGGCTGTGTGGATTTATTTTATTTTTTTCAGTAATAAACACGGAAACACAGACTATATAATATTAGTGGATAAACTGAGTAGGATGTCAGCCATTTCTCTCACACTCTCTGGTCAGAAAAGAAAGTAATAAATAAAATACAATATGTCTAATTAAATCTATAACCATTAATTATGCAATTATTTACACAGCTTAAGAGACTAGGTCACAGCACTAAATCATGTGTGTGTCTATATAAAGCCCGACCCTCTGGCACCTTCCTTGTCATAATATTTGCTACTCTCACACAATGTTCTGGCAGGGGAGCAGTGGGTTGCGTACCTATGCCCAGGTGGGACAGGTGTTCAAACAGGGTCCAGCTGTGGTCATCAATGCAGTGGTTCTTCAGCACAAACAGCTGGCAGACATCGCGGGTGGTGATGTCGCTGGGCACCTCAACGGCCCGGCTGCTCTCGTCTTCATTGTACACTTTGATTACCTGCACACAGATATTAGTTTGTTTTTAGTATAAAAGACCCAATATGATTGTTTCAAGATCTGTGATTGATTCATTTTAATTTACATATCAGACATAGACAGAAATCTGGGCTGATATTTGCATCAATCTAAAATAAAAAAGGGCATTATTTCTACTTACTGTAAATGCACATTTATGCTTTGTTTATACTGTGCATAATTATAAAGTTCTTTCGTACGCAACGGCTTGCTGGACTTGTTTGCATGATTCCATGTATTACACAGAATTTTCTTTTGAACTTGAACTTTTTCAACGTCTTATAAATGTTTGAGATGTACAGTACTTGTGCTCCAAGAAAATCAGCACATTTCTATCCCTATACAACACATAAATCACAAATTATTATTTAAAACGTGCACTGCAACCAGAAAGCATTTGCTAATACATCTTATTAACAAAGAATGATTAATTCCAGTTTAAATTAATTCTGTTAGAACTTCAAATAGGATTTGTGAGTGCAATAATAACACAAAGAAAAGGTTAAATATGTTGAGCATGCTGATAATGCTTCTTTGAAAGAGTATTTATGAAAAAGAATATAGACAATGACAAAATTTCACTGGTATCACAAGATTATACCCATTTGAAACGCAATAAAACATGCTGCATCACTTTAATTAAACATTTTGTGTGGTCCCTAGCCAGAGAGTTACCGTCTGCAACTACAATTCTTCAATCCCTCTCAATGTTTTACTTTGACCCACATTTTTGTACATATCACAAAGAATAATAAGAACTCCTCTATGCAAAACAAGCACTGATAAGAAGTCACAATGAGTTCTATTTTTAAACAATAGATGATCAACTTTTCAAGCCTCACTCCTCCTCCTTTGCTCATTATTGTAGCAAAACATTACACAGGAAAAAATGTGTTCCCAGTCTTCAGGAAATCATCAAATTATTTCATGTGAAAGAAACTTACCCTGCACGTCTTAGCAAGGGGGCGCTTTGAGTGTGGACAAGTGCCGAAGCCGATGTGCGGCTGTGTACAAAGCATTGCAATGGGTCTAAAAATGCACAAACTAATGAACCATAAAATGCATGTTGAGGGGGATCACCTGCTTTCTTGTGTGTTGCAGGCAAAGAGTGAAGGAGGAAGAGGAGGAGGAGAGTCACAAGGCTCCAGTGAAACCAGCCCCTTGGTCTGCCCTATTGACGCTCACACACCCATGATAAGCACAGAGCCATGGAGCCCTCACAAAAGGTGTTGTTATAGACAAACATATGAGTGGGTGGGTACACAGACAAAAGAGGGATTTCTCAAAGAGTAAATAAGTGTCTCCGATGAAGATGCTGTGAATGGGTAATCTTCAAGCCACTTTTAGCTACAATATTACTTGATTGGTTGCTCATCAAAAACATTGTTTTCAGTAATTCAGTAATACACTTTGATATCAGATCATATCCCTACCATTCAAGATTCATTGCAATGCAAACCATGCATTTAATTATTATTTCTCGGTAACAAAAAATATTATTATTGTAGTAGGTAATGAATGTTACAGCTGCAACAGAAAATCATGATCCACAGAGTGTTTCATCTACAAGTAATTTGGAGATTATTAAACGTAATGTTGAATATTGCTAACCTGTGGTTTACTTGCACCTGCTTTGTACATGCCCTCTGTCCCGGTGTCGTTTCAGATGCGTGCACTTTCTGCACAACTCTCACACAGAGGAGAGAGGCGAGTGTTTTAGTCACAAATGTTTTTGGTACATGCACGGTCACAGTGGCGGTCATGCGCACATAAGCACAAGAAGAGATGACAGATGAGTGATTTTACACAAAAGGCAAGTGGAGTGGACCATTAGAGTGTACTTTCAGGGCTTTCTAAATTAAGGTTTTTCAGTGCGTTTATGTAAATATGAATCATGGACATTTAATGCGGCACATTGCAACATATATGCATTGCAATACATCATGGCTTTGTTCTGCTCTGTTGGCCTTTTTAGGGATGCACAATGGTGCAAATTTCAACCGAGAATGAAGATATGTCCCTACCATTTTTCAGTTTATGTTTTAAAACATGTATGCACTATTTTTGCCACAGTCTAGTTTCTATTATTTGTATTAAATTCTTTAGTTTATTTTATTTTTTTTTCATTATCACGCTTTTGTGAACTTCAGAGCATTGAAATGGGCAGATAATGTGGACTGAAAAGATAATTGAAAACAATTATTTGTGCTGGACTCATTTACTCCTGCTGCCTGCAAGACTGTATGCTTACTTCTGCTGGTGGATGCTATGGAAGACAAGAAATAACATCTATAAATTGTATAATAATTTTGGATGTGTCGTGTTGCGTGCAGACAATGAGTTGAGGATTTGCAGCTTAGCGGGATGTGGCAGAGCGAGCGAGAGGAGGTCAGAGAGCAGAGACACTGAGGAGCCATTAATAAATCCATACGATGACATCAGACCCTGTGGGCTGCTAAATTACCCCCTCCCTTTCAAAATCTGTGAACAACTCTAAATGTTGTCAGATACAGTTTTAGTTTAAAAACTAGATTGGCCTAGTTGCAATTAATATTTCAATACATGATTATGATGTACCGTTTACAAAAGACAAAAAAGGTCTTCCTGACGGAATAAGTTTTGATGGTAAAATACATTAAATCGTTTACAGTTTTAAAGATAAAATGACTTTCTAAGATCTGAATGGTAAAAGCCTGCGCTCCTAAAAACACATTCCATAACATACAAATAAATATAAATTATGTTTGCATTAGGGCCAGGACTTTAACGCGTTAATTAAGGTTAATTAACACCACAAAAATTAGCGCGTAAAAATTTTACGCATTTTAATCGTATGGGACGTTGCACCGCGGAACGTTCCTTACTGATGAGTTTCAGACGGACCGATTGTACTGGAGTACCAACACGAGCTCCGTGACTTTTTTTGTTCAAAAGTACATTATCACAAGCATAGACCAACTTTAGCTGTGACTAAATCCCACTGAGTAGAGACGGGAATGAGCGCTGCGTATGGAGCGATGGACTCTGTGTGTGAGGAGGAGGAGCAGGGAGCGACTCCTGTGTTGTGAGCCGGTGTGAGCGGAGGTGAAGGAGGCGGAGGAGGGGGCGGAGGAGGAGGAGTGAGACACAAGTGTGTGAGCTGCTATGGGCTATATGCAAGGGGAGGCGTGACGTCATTTCCTGTTAACGCAGATCAGCCCGTTCACTTCCTGCCTATGCTATCCTATGGCCTTTGGGTGAGTTGTAGTGACGTTCTTTAGTAATTAGATCGATACATTCAGCTGTGAGACTGACCCAAAAGTGTCGCTGTGCTTTCTCTCTGAGGTAAAGCTTTGATTGTGGCCACTCAGAGCGATTTTTAAACTTTATAAAAACACAATGACAGCACAATCAAAGAGCACTGTTGTGTCCCAAAAATGCCCAGTATCCTCACAGTTTAATCCCTGTTTGAGCATTATTTGGGAAATTCGTGTAAACCACTGCTGAACTCCAGTGAAACTCAAGCCATTTCCCGCAAACAGGAAGTGAGGTGGGGCTTTAGCTAAAACGCGGAAGTGGTGCGTGCATAGAGCCCATTGCTGATGTTTAGTCCAAATGCACACATCAAAAACGTATTATAAAAGCTTTAGCAAACAGCGAATGCCCAGCTTTAGTGCTCACTGCCCTAGTTTGCATACAAAACATAATTTCCATTGAATAAATATACGTTGAATATACATACAGCGATCTGTATGCTTTGAGTAAACATTGTACAATATGCTTTACCTTGGAATGCGGATAAATATTTCTCTTTGTAGGTTAGTAAGCCAGTAAACGACTATAGCATGCTACATAGAAAATTGAAATATCAAGAAATTGTTAATTATTCAAACAAAATGGAATATTTGAACAATGAGCTTACATATTAAAACCCACAGCTAAGAATAATGAGACTCATGTTGGCAAAGTATCCACCATGTAACTGTTGTGTACAAGGATTAGTCCTACAGGCTCTGGCAGTTCAGCTATATCTGTCCCACACCATGCTGTCCACGATTCACAGTTTACAGAAACCTAAGTGACAGTATGTGCTGCCGTCCACGTGGACTGTCGGCGTGCGTGTGAGAAGTAACACAATGTGAATGAAGACAATATGGACATTACTTTTGTCCATGAATCCAACCAAATCGTGATATTCTGAATCGTTATACCCCTCCTTAAACTGAGGTAGATCATGTAGAGTAAAGGGACCGTTGAATATTTGTTTGATATTTTCAATGTTCAAAAATTATAAAATTTTTACTTGAATGAGACAATGCATTAATGAACAGCAGGTGCTGTAAAAAAGATTTAGCTCATGACTAGTTTCCATCTGTACTCGTAGGATAGGATATTGTTGTTTAAATATGTATACTGTGGCACTCACAAACACAACTATCTCTGATTGGTTCTTACAGTTTTCTAACAAATATGAAGAAAATAGAATCCTTGGAGTATGTACCTAATCTATAATTATTATACAATCATGAGGTTCTAGCTGGTCAGGCAATACAAAAAAAACAAAATAAATTCAATAGCGAAAAGAGTATACAGAAAAACATTTACTGGTTTACATTTGAACCATTAAATGTGTGTAATAGTGAATGTCTAGCCTGTTTAAATACAGGTATAACTAGAAAATAGAAATTTCTGCTTAATTGCACTTCATGCTGTGACAAAGCAGCAGCTTAACAGCAATTAAACAACAGTATTTGCATTGCGATCCCACTGATAACTCATGAGCTTTCACAAGGAAGTGGCCGTCCTGGGACATAGCCAAATCAAATCATGCGGCATCGCGTTTCACTGCAGAGGAGGGCAGGGCAGCTGATGTATGGGCTAGGCACATGAGATCAAGCTGTGTTTAATTTTCTGGACGCTGAAAATGAACACTTAATATTGTCCAAATGTGAGTTATAATATACAGGAAAAGATAAGCCATAGGTCTGAAAAAAGTCAATAAGG